CCATCCTCTTCTAGCTTTCATTCTCAGGATCTTCCTTTCAGGCCTTGTTAAAAGAATCCATTTCATCGATGAATTCCCTACCCCCGCTTATCTTCTCTGACTCGGATCTCACGTGGTCTCACTACCCAAGCCACACGTGTAGACATACCCTGCCTGATCTTGTGGGTAACCGATGATATCTCTTGTCTGCAACTTTCTAGCAGATATTCTTCAGTAAGAGGTGGCTTCTGAAGCTCTACACAAAGGAGCGTGGTGTGTGATTTCAAGGCACGATGGCTGCAAAAGTGTTTCCGATGCCTCCGAAGCCAAAGCAGTCCTTTATACTGAGAGTTCCTCCAAACTCCAAGCTAGGCCAAGACCTACTTCAAGATGCTACTAACAGGCCCAAGACCATCCACCAGTTGGTTCTGGAGCACTTCCTCACCTTCTTGCCCAAGCCCGGACTAGCTCAGCCCAATCAGAATGCCAAAGAGACCTTGGTTATCATGAAAGATGTGAGCTCAAACTTTCAGAACAGCGGTAAGAACACTCTGCTTTACTGGAAGAGAGGGGATGGTGCCCAGGGGCTGAGATAGTCTTTCCTGCTAGTTAGGAATCCCAGTTAGGATGATGGATATTGGGGGGGGAAAAAGTAGTTGATTTTAATAAGTCAACATGTTGAGGAGAGGGAGTCTTTTTCTCAAGCTGGAACTTGAGTGGTTTGATGGGTGTGGGTAAGGCCATAGGATAAGCAGTGTGTCTCTTTTCTGTAGTGTCAATTTTTCATTGGGAGAAGAGAGTAGGCTATATACATATATATAGCCTACTTACCCAAGGATATTTTTCCATTGATTTTTAGAGGGGAAGACAGAGAGAAACACATCAATTGGTTGCCTCCTGCATGTGCCCTGACCAGGGCCTGTGCTGAAGAGGAGCCTATAATCGAGATTCATGCCCTTGACCGGAATCAAACCTGGTCCGCAGGCTGACACCACTGAGCCAAACCAGCTAACGCAAACAATATCTTTTTTTTTTTTTTTAATATATTTTATTGATTTTGTACAGAGAGGAAGGGAGAGAGATAGAGAGTTAGAAACATCGATGAGAAAGAGTCATCGATCAGCTGCCTCTTGCACACCCCCTACTGGGGATATGCCCGCAACCAAGGTACATGCCCTTGACCGGAATCGAACCCGGGACCCTTCAGTCCCCAAGCCGACGCTTTATCCATTGAGCCAAACTGGTCTCAGCAACAATATCTTTTTTAAGATAAATGAATGTGAATGAATGATAGAATTGATTTTAGATTATGTGGCATTTTGGAAACTTTGTGCTTGCTATGGGATTCTTCAGACTACCTTCTCCCAACCCCCTCTTTAGTAGTTGTGGAAATTTTAAAAAGCACTTAGGGGAAATCATTCTTTTCATTGAGGGGACACTATATAATAGTTTCAAGACGCTGTGATTTATGGCTTACTCTCTGGTCTCACAGGACCAGAAAAGACCATGAGTTGCCTGCCAAAGGAGCGAAGATAGCCTGACATTAGGGCTGTCCGTATTAGACTCACTGACTTTTCCAGTAACTGCAGTTTCCTCTTTTCCCAGTGCAACCTGGTCCCCAAGTGAAGCTTCTGACTAGAGAAGGAATCCAGCAGGAACAGGAGACAGTATCTTTGTGCTTGAAAGCTGATTCTAAGGTGGGTATGGTTTTCCCATTCATTGTTTGAGTGTATCACCTTCTTCTCTTTATTTTAAATATGTTTTTATTGATTTTAGAAAAAGGGAGAGGGATAGAGAGATAGAAACATTTATCGGCTTCCCCCTGCACTCCGCCTACTGGGTTATCATGAGCCCACAGCTTGGACATGTGCCCTGATCTGGAATCTAACCAGTGACTTCCTGGTTCATGGGTGGAGGCTCACTAACCCAGCCCTTCTCTGCTCTTGCTATCCCTCCCAGCTCAGCCAATTTTATATAAAAACATACTCATGGAAGTCAGCAGGGAAAACGGGGCTTGTTCTTCACTTTCCCCTTAGATCATTTTCTTCTGCTTGTCTTCTGGCTCCTTTCCTGACTGGCTGCATCTCTATGGGACTTATAAACCCCTTTCACCATTCCTTCGTCATTGGGTCTCAGTATTTCTTATCAACAGGGCTGTCAAGGAACCTCTGTTACTAAGAGGAAGGGGGGCCTGTTGCTCTTTCAGGATCTGGTGGTTTTTGAGGACTTGAATGTATTTCACTCCCAAGAAGAATGTGTGAGCCTGGATCCTATGCAGGAGCCCTCCTCAGAGAAGGAAGAAGACAGTATTGGGGAGATGCTGTTAATGGGTAAGAAACCAAGTCCCTTGTGTATTCAGATTGAATGCTATGGGAAAATCATGTTCTTCTACTTCACCTCAGACTTTTTCGAGACACCATTCATACCAACTAAGCACATGCTCACACATGTGTTTAATTTTTGTCTTGTCCCATGAGCCAGAGTCTGCTTCAACGGTGGGTGGCCATTTTCCCTATATCTTGGGGCAGCAAAGGCAGAAGGTCCTTCTCTTGGTAAGCAAGTATTACAGCTGATATATTAATATCAAGCATTCAAGCAGATAGAAAGTGTAGGCAGACATTCTGTATCTATTTTTTGGATCCAGTGCTATTTCCCAGCAGGTATATTATGTTACATTATGTTATATTATATTTATTATATTATATTTATTTTTGTTAATCCTCACCTGAGGATATTTTTCCATTGGTTTTTAGAGAGAGTGGAAGGGAGAGGAAGAGATAGAGAAACATTGGTGTGAAAAAAGACACATCAATTGGTTGCCTCCTACATGGCCCCAACCAGGGCTGGGGATCAAAGCCCGCAACTACATGATCTTGACCAGAATCTAACCTGGGACCCTATAGTCCCAGGCTAATACTCTATCCCCTGAGTCAAATCTGCTAGGGCCCAATAGGTATGTTTTATTATTTTCTTAAAAATATATTTTATTGATTTTTTTAGAGAGAGGGATAGAGAGTTAGAAACATCTATGAGAGAGAAACATAGATCAGCTACCTCCTGCACACACCCCACTGAGCCAAACCGGTTTTGGCCCAACAGGTATATTTTAAATCTGTGTTTTCATTGGACACATGACACATTGAAGATCCATAGCTGTGAAACCTAGTGTAAAAGAAAAGATAACCAACTATTGGTGGAAATAACATCTGCTTAATAAGCACTTATGTACTAGGCATTAGTCTAAGTACTTTGCATTTATTTTATTTATTTATTTATTTATTTTTTACAGAGAGGAAGGGAGAGGAATAGAGAATTAGAAACATTGGTGAGAGAGAAACAGTGATCAGCTGCTTCCTGCACACCCCCTACTGGGGATGTTCCTGCAACCAAGGTACATACCCTTGACCAGAATCGAACCTGAGACCCTTGAGTCCACAGGCCAACGCTGTATCCACTGAGCCAAATCGGATAGGGCACTTTGCATGCATTTATTTTTAAAAATATATATTTTATTGATTTTGTACAGAGAGGAAGAGAGAGGAATAGAGAGTTAGAAACATCGATGAGAGAGAATCATCGATCAGCTGCCTCTTGCACACCCCCTACTGGGGATATGCCCGCAACCAAGGTACATGCCCTTGACCGGAATAGAACCCGGGACCTTTCAGTCCACAGGCCGACGCTCTATCCGCTGAGCCAAACCGGTCCCAGCAAAATATATATTTTTTAAATATAATAAAAAATTAAAACACTTAAGTCACCCTGGCTAATGTTGTTCAGTGGTTAAAGTATCAGCCATGCAATGAAGGGTCTTGGGTGACTCATTCAAAGTCACGGACCTCAGTTACAGGTTCAATTCCAGACCCTGTCAGGGCACATGCGGGAGGGAGCCAATCGATGTCTCTCTCTCTCACATCAATGTTTCTCTCCTCTCTGTCTGTCCCTCTCCTTTTAACTATCTTAAAAAAAAAAAAAATTCTTAAGCCACTCATCAATATTTAGTAAGTGCCCCTTGTTTCTTTCCTCAGGCAGGGTTGGGTTCTGGAGTTGATTAAAAATATACATATTACTTGCCGAGACCGGTTTGGCTCAGTGGATAGAACGTCGGCCTGCAGACTGAAAGGTCCCCAGTTCGATTCCGGTCAAGGGCATGTACCTTGGTTGCGGGCACATCCCCAGTGGGGGGTGTGCAGGAGGCAGCTGGTCAATGTTTCTCTCTCTTCGACGTTTCTAACTCTCTGTCCCTCTCAATTCCTCTCTGTGTAAAATTAATAAAATATATTTTAAAAAATACATATATAAATACATATTACTCCAGTCCTGCCTTCTAGGACTTTACAATTTGTTTTGTAAGGTAAATCATTCACATAAAAAGATAAGCAGTGTGAAACCATTATTACTATAAAGAGAGATGACAAGGTAGAGACAGGATTTAGACCCAAGAGCAGAGTTTGGAAAAAGATGAATTTTATTTCCATAGAGGAACTAAAATGAGATTATCCTCCGGGCACTTGGACATTGGGGGTTGGGAGTCAGATGTAGACATGGGTATTTGGGAGTCATCAGCATACAGCTGGAAACAGTAACATTTGGCCAGTTTGCAAAGGGAGAAGTGCAAGGGAATGAACCTGGGGGAGCCAGGAATCAAAGAAGAGTTGTCAGTAGAGAATAGAATGTGTGTCTCTATCCAAGAGAACATGAAAACAGTTAGAAATGTAGAAACTTAAATTCTCAGTGAGGTAGTTCCTATAGCTATATCTACTTATACTGTGGTAAGAGAACATATCTTGCCAAAACTGGTTTGGCTCAGTGGATAGAGCGTCTGCGGACTGAAAGGTCCCAGGTTCGATTCTGGTCAAGGGCATGTACATTGGCTGTGGGCACATCCCCAGTGGGGGGTGTGCAGGAGGCAGCTGGTCGATGATTCTCTCTCATCGATGTTTCTGGCTAACTATCCCTTTCCCTTCCTCTCTGTGAAAAATCAATAAAATATAAAATGTATTTTTAAAAAAAGAACATATCTTTACAAGATACATACACACTGACTCTCCTCCCTGAAGCAAAGAAAACCTTAGTGGATTCCAGAGTAGAAATAGCAATAGGATCTACCCAGTACAACTAGAAATTAATAATGAAATGGGGGGAAAGTTCCACCTGGAAATTTTAAAAATTAATAAATTACCTGAGTCAAAGGGGAAATACAAGTTAAAGTTATATAATTTTTCTGGAAAACTGTGTGTCACAATTTATGGTATAGCCTAAAGTGGTACTCAAAGATTATGGCTCTAAAAACATGTAGAAAAATAAAGTAATTAAGCCTATGACTCAGAGTTAGGAAAACAAAGTATTCATAAATACTAAATTAGAAATCAGTAAGTTAAAAAAACAAGAATAAGAAAGATTTTTTAAAAATATATAAACTAATTTATATGAGCAAATTGAAAATTATAGAAACTAGCCCCCATCAAAGAAAAAGGACCAGCTTCAGTTTCACAGAAAATTCTTGTGAGTTCTTTTTTTTTTTAAATTAAATTATTAACTGTGTACATATTTTAACATTGCCCCCCCCCCATACATACTTATCCTCCCCAGAGTTTTGTGTCCATTGATTGTACTTATATGCATGTATACAAGTCCTTCGGTTGATCTCTTATCTCCCCCAGATCTCCCTTCCTCCCCGCTCTAATTTGACAGTCTGCTTGTTGCTTTACTGTCTCTATATCTATCTTTTGGTTCCTCAGTTTATAATGTTCTTTATTATCCATAAATGAGTGAGGTCATGTGGTGTTTCTCTTTCATTGACTGGCTTATTTCACTCAGCATGATGTTCTCCAATTCCATCCAGGTTGCTGCAAATGATGAGAATTCCTTCTTTTTTATGGCAGCATAGTATTCCATTGTGTAGATTAGGGGTGTCGAACTCAATCAGAGAAGGGGCCAAAATCTAAAATCCAGCCTAAATCGCGGGCCGAATGGTTTACTGAACAGTCATAAACTGTCATTGTGATGGAAACGCAGCGGAGTGCAGTGATGACAGCGCGGTGCGGGCCACATTGCAAGGCCTGGCGGGACGGATTTGGCCCGCGGGCCTTGTGTTTGACACATGTGGTGTAGATATACCATAGTTTTTTGATCCAATCATCTGCTGACGGGCACCTAGGCTGTTTCCAGATCCTAGCTATTGTAGATTGTACTGCTATGAACATAGGGCTGCATATATCCTTTCTGATTGGTGTTTCTAGTTTCTTGGGATATATTTTTAGGAGTAGATTACTGGGTCAAATGGGAGTTCCATTTTCAGTTTTTTGAGGAAGCTCCATACTGTTCTCCACAGTGGTTGCACCAGTCTACATTCCCACCAGCAGTGCACGAGGGTTCCTTTTTCTCCACAAACCTTGCCAACACTTGTCATTTGTTGATTTGTTGATGTTGGCCATTCTGACAGGTGTGAGATGGTACCGCATTGTTGTTTTGATTTGCATCTCTCTCTTGTGAGTTCTTAAAAACTAGACAATTCAAATGCTATGAAAAATTCCAGAGTACAGAAAAAAAATGTTCAAATTATTTTTATGAAATTAGTGTAACAAAGATACCACAACCTGATAAAACTGCTGTGACCAGCCCTAGCCAGTTGCTCAGTGGTTAGAGCATCAGCCCACGGACTAAAGGGTCACGTGTTTGATTCACGGGTCAGGGGCAGTTACCTTGGTTTTGGGTTTGATCCCAGTCTGGACGTGTGTGGGAGGCAACCATTCGATGTGTGTCTCTCTTTCTCTCTCTGTCTCCTCCCTTCCAGTGTGTCTGAAAAATCAGTGTAAAAAATATCCTCAGGTGAGGATTTTTAAAAATAATGATAAGTTAAAAAAAAATTGCTGTGACCAAATAAAATTTATTCCAGGTATGCAAAACTGGTTTAATACTAGAAAGACTGTTAATATATTCCATCTTATAATGAAGGAAAAAATGCAAGATCATTTTCATAGTTATTGAAAAGGTATTTGACTAAATACCCCTGCTTCATAAGAATACTTAACAAAATAGTACTTAGTGAACACATCCTTAATAAGGTACTTATCTTTTTAGCCAGCATCACCTTAACAGGAAATACTGGGGGCATTCCCACTAAAATTAGGAATACAACAATGAAGCCCACTATCACTACTTCTGTATTTAATATTATGTTTTGGGTATTTGGCCAGTGCAGTTAAATGAGAAAGAAGTTAAGTGTATAACGATTTTGAGAGAAAGATAAAAGTACATCTGTTTACATATGTTACAATTGTGTAACTAGAAAACTGTAGAAAATATCTGAAAACTTACTATAAATAAGAGCATTTGGTATCGCATTGGATTGTAAAATATTACAGTATATGGAAATCATTAGCTTTCATATGCAAACAATCAAATAGAAGATATAGGAACAAAAAAAAGATTAAACACCTAGAAATAAACTTAAGAAATGTGCAAAAATTATTAGGAAACCCTTAAAACACTTGTAAAGGACACAGAAGCAGATTTGAATGAATGAAAAGAGTAGGAAGATTTAATGTATAAAGGTCAGTTCACCCCAAGTTGATTATGAATTCAAATCTCATTAACAATACCAATAGGATCTCTCCCACCTCCTGCAATTAGACAATCTGATACCAAATTCAAATGGATTTGAAAGTCTTAAAAGAAAAGATCAATAAATACATAAAAGTGAAAAATATATGTAAGTTTTAAAAGGCAACAAATTGGAAATATTTATAACTCGGACAAAAGCTTAATCTTCCTAATTTATAAACAGTTTCTAGAAGTAGGAAAGAGAAAATCCAACAGATTCACATAGAAATACAAATTACCTTTAAATACATGAAAATATGTCCAGTCCTACTCATAATTAGAAATACAAATTAAACCTCTACTGAGTTACCATTTTTTAAATATATATTTATTGATTTCAGAGAGGAAGAGAGCGGAGAGAGAGAGAAACATCAATGATGAGAGAGAATCATTGATTGCCTGCCTCCTGCATGCCCCCTATTTGGGATCAAGCCTGCAAGCCAGGCATGTGTCCCTGATTGGAATCAAACCTGGGATCCTTTATTTTGCAGGTCGTCACTCTGTCCATCGAGCCAAGTCAGGTAGGGCCTGAGTTACCATTTGTTAAAACCAGATTTACATAAATCAGTATGTAGCAACACTTTGGTAGTGAGGTTGTTGGGAGACAGCTATATTGCTGGTAGGTATACGGAATAGTACAATCCTTATGTATGGGAATCTGTAATTAACCATGTTACAGATACATTAACTCTTTGATCCAGCAGTCCCACTTCTGGGAATCTGATCTACAGGTCACAGCAACAGTACATATTCAAAATGATGTACGTAGTTATTCATTGTGGTGTTGTTTCTAAAAACAATGGTTGAAAACAATCCAGGTGTGTCTGCAGAGTTGATTATGATATGTCCACACATCATATTGTGATAATCTCTATATACTGAAATATAGTGATTGAAATAAAACAAGCAGAAATATATAGTATACTATCTTTTATATAAAAAAGAGGGAGAGCTCTGACTGGTTTGTCTCGGTGGATAGAGCACCAGCCTGTGGACTGAAGGGACCCAGGTTCGATTCTGGTCGAGGGCACGTACCTTGGTTGCAGGCACATCTCCAAAAGGGGGTGTGCAGGAGGCAGCTAATCAATGTTTCACTCTCATTGATGTTTCTCTCTCTCCCTCTCCCTTCTTCTCTGTAAAAAAAAAAAAAAAAAATTATATATATATATATATATATATATATATATATATATATATATATATATAATTTTTTTTTTAAATGAATGGGGGAGAGAAAGAAAATGAATTGCCTAAAGAAACAATGGAAGGCCGAAACCGGTTTGGCTCAGTGGATAGAGCGTCAGCCTGCGGACTGAAAGGTCCCAGGTTCGATTCCGGTCAGGGGCATGTACCTTGGTTGTGGGCAAATCCCCAGTGGGGGTTGTGCAGGAGGCAACTGATGGATGTTTCTCTCTCTCTCTCCCTTCCTCTCTGTAAAAAAATCAATAAAAAATATATTAAAAAAAAAAAAACAATGGAAGATTAAAAAGAAACTAATAAAAACCTGTACCACTCTGAGAGATGAATAGAATGGATGGGGATAGGAACTGGATTAAGACTTCTCATTGCATACCTTTTTATGTTTTGATTTTTGAGCAATATAAATATATTAGCTACTAAATTTTTTAATTTTAAAAATTAGTACATTAAAAAAAAACCATGAATGTCTATAAATATTCCTCAAAACAGTCCTTTAATATAAACAAACATGTATAATCATTCATAAAACACTGATGGTAATTTCTTAAAACAGAACAAATTAAAGAAACCTGCTTTCACAATATCATTAACTAGGTTTTCTAAAACAAGAAAAAGGGGTTAAAAAGAATAAATATTGCCCAGCTGTGGTGACTCAGTGGATTGAGCATTGTCCCATGGACCAAGAGGTCCTGGGTTTGATTCCCAGTCAGGGTACATGCCCAGGTTGCAGGCTTGATCTCCAATAGGGGGCGTGCAAGAGGCAGCCAATCTATGAGTCTTTTTCATCATTGATGTTTCTATTTCTCTGTCTCCCTCTCTAAAATCAGTAAAAATATAAAAAATAAGAAATATTGGAAAGGGAGGGAATCAATAAAATATTTTTTTTAAAAGACTTGTGATGAAAATTGGCATAGGCTTTACCCAGCTTTTTCATTATCCTAAGGAAATAAAGGGAATAATTAAAATAGAATAAATCCATTAGTGTGCGAAACTACTAAATCCAGTAGAAATTCACATTCCAGCTTTTGGGTCAGCCACATATCTTTTTTTTTTTTTTTTTAATATATTTTATTGATTTTTTTTTTTTATAGAGAGGAAGAGAGAGGGATAGAGAGTCAGAAACATCAATGAGAGAGAATCATCAATCAGCTGCCTCTTGCACACCCCTTAATGGGGATGTGCCCGCAACCAAGGTACATGCCCTTGACCGGAATCGAACCCGGGACCCTTCAGTCCGCAGGCCGATGCTCCATCCGCTGAGCCAAACTGGTTTCGGCTCAGCCACATATCTTAAGTAGTTGATTTAAAAATTGATTTCAGAGATGAAAGAAGAGGGAGAGTAAGCTAGAAACATCGATAAGAGAATAATTGATCAGTTTCCTCCTGCACGTCCCACACTGGGGATTGAGCCTAAAACCCGGGCATGTTCGATGCCCTGACAGAGAATCGAACCTTGACCTCCAGGTTCATATGTTGATGCTCAACTGCTGAGGCCTAAGCATTTAATTTAACCTTTTTAATTTATTCTCAGTAAGTTGGCCAGAATTTAGAGGTCCCTTGTCACTCAATCTATTTTCAGCATAGAGTTTTTCACTTTGCTACCTAGTCATTATAATCTTATCTTACAGGGTTTTTGTTGTTGTTTTGAACTATAATAAAAATGCAGCAAAGTTTACAAATAAGTGTATAACTCAAATTTTCACAAAACATACACATTTGTCTAACTACCACCCAAAATTGACTTCCTACCACTGCAGAAATTCCTATTGTGCTCCACCTAGTTACTACTACTACTTTCTTCCTCTTCCCAAAAGGCCACTGTTGGCTTCTATCATAGTTTTATCTACCATAGTTTTATCAGTTGTAGTAATCACTTTGATTCCCAAGTAATAATCTATTGTGTCAATGTATTACATCTTCTTTATTTTAGGGTATTTTAATTGTTTATGGTTTTTTACTACATGGACATTGTAATATTATCTAATGCTATAATATTGTAACAGTTAATGTAGTGAGAACCTAGAAGTCATCTTACGGTTCACTTATTGGCCTAAAGATTACGAGTGGTACCCTTCAGTATTTATGTTCTTCATCCCCTCGTACTTAGCTCAATGCTTTACACATATAAATTCAATATGAACTCATTGAGTGAAATAGTCTTTTAGTATAGTCTCATTTTTTCTTTCACATAAAAAGAGTACTGTGTGCTTATATTGTGGGATATGAAAAGATTTATTTGTCATGTATCCGACCCTTAATAAGAGTATAAAAGGAATGTTGGTGGCAATTATCTATCAGTCCTCAGATTTGTGATTTTTAATGTTATTTCATGAGAAATCAAACTTATTTTTCCCCCTCCTGGTATCATGTCCCTCAAAAGTTACTAAATTCTCTTCTTTTGTTTTAACAGCCAATGGCAGTAATCCTGAGGGTGAAGATTACAGAGAAGATTCTTCAGATTGTGATGAAATGGATTGTTCTGTGGTCTCTGAGCAATCTCCAGATTGCCATAAAGAAAAAATAATAAATACATCCATTCCAAATGAAAGGAAAGTGAGAAATCTTTTAATTACCATTGAAAATGATACTCCACTAGAGGACCTCTCAAAATTTGTGGATGTCAATATTATTGCGCTTAACCGAAATCGGAGATCAAGAAGATGGTACACTTGTCCACTGTGTGGGAGACAGTTTAATGAAAGTTCTTACCTTATTTCCCACCAGAGGACTCATACTGGA